TGCACATTCCACAACCTCAACTCTGGAGAAGCAGTTTCTGGCCAGACACACTGATGTGACTTCAGTTTTCTTTACCCATCTTGAGATCTGTCTGTTTATCTGGTGAGAAAAAGGAAACGACGGGTGGTGGTGGTCGGGGACTCCCTCCTAAGAGGGACTGAGCCATCTCTCTGCCGTCCGGACCTGGAATCTCGAGAGGTGTGCTGCTTACCGGGAGCTCGCATTCAGGATGTCACTGAGAGGCTTACCAAGCTGATCAAACCTTCGGATCGCTACCCCTTCCTGCTTCTCCACGTGGGAACTAATGATATGGCCAAGAATGACCTTGAGCGGGTCACTGCGGATTATGTAGCGCTGGGAAGAAGGATCAAAGAATTTGGAGCGCCAGTGGTGTTCTCCTCCATCCTCCCTGTTGAAGGGAAAGGACTGGGCAGGGATCGTCAAAATGAGGAAGTACATGCGTGGTTGCGCAGATGGTGTCGCCGAGAGGGGTTTGGTTTCTTTGACCATGGGACTCTGTTCCAGGCACAAGGATTGTTAGGAAGAGATGGGATCCACCTAACCAAGAGAGGAAGGAGCATCTTCGCGGGCAGGCTTGCGAACCTAGTGAGGAGGGCTTTCAACTACGTTTGTTGTCTTGAGTAAAGTTCTATGAGCACTTTCCTAAATAGCTTCTGCCTTACTGAGGGTTTCTCTATAGTGACATTGTGGATAGAGGAATTTCAGTTTCAAATGCCTCTTACTGAATCTCATGTACAATATCAGTGATGAGATGGTTCTAGCTTCCTGCCAGTTCAAATAAACTTATTTTTAAAGATATAATTTGTTTTAGACTAGTTTTTTCAAAGGCTGTGTTTAGCTCAAGTTCTTTCAGCTCTGATCAGAGGTGCAAGCCTGCTTCAGACTTTGTCATACTTCAGTAAAAACATTAATAAATAGTGAAGCCACTGAATAGAAGTATGCCGTCTGATATCTCTAGACATTATTTCAAAGCAAATCTACATCTCATTTCATTAGGTTGCAATCACATTCTTCACATACTGCTAGGGTTTTCTTTTTTATCTTAATGACACTCTCCACAGCCCTTTTTCATATTAAATACAATAAAAAATACCGCATGCACTGGGGATACTTTGTAGTCAGAAATGTGCTTTCTAAAAGAACACTGACCAATGAAGGGAAATGTGACTACTGGGTGCCTACTGGAGCTGTTACCCGGGGTTCTTTCAACCCAAACCTCTCAGTAATTTTTACTCTCTGTGAGGTGGTGTCAGGAAATAATTCAGGGGAGACATGGTCATCCGACCGATAGATGGATGGCACAATCAGGATAACACAAGCTAAACTTTACTTTAACTTTATTCTCAAGCACTTACACACATCTGCATCAGGTTAGTAAACCACCCCTCCCCACCCCCCGATAGTTACTGAAGTTGTGTGTGGCTCTCGAGTGACACCGGACAGGCTTCCAATGGCCAGTCTTCCATCAGCTGGTAGGGATGAAGATCTGTCCAGATGTGAAGAGTCCTCAAGGAGTCCTCGAAGCGTTCCTTCAAGTGTTTCCCAAAATTGTCCCTCCTAACTCAACCTTTAAAAAGTGCTTGCCTAACAAATTTTTGAGTGACATGTTATTGGAATACTAATGGATAAATAGGGAACGAAAGTTTAAGCAAGAGGTGAAACCATCCCAACGCGTAGCAAGAGATGCGAACATGGTAGGAGACCCGATTGGCTTACAGGGAAAATCCTTGGTGAACTTAAGCACAAAAAGATTGCTTACAAAAAGTGGAAATTTGGACAGATGACTACGGAGGAGTATAAGGCTGCGTCTAGACTGGTATGATTTTGTGCAAAAGCGCTTGCTTTTGCGCAAAATATTGCCGCCTGTCTACACTGGCCGCGAGTATTTGCGGCCCCCGCCTGTCTACACTGGCCGCGAGTATTTGCGCAAGAACACTGACTTTGTAATGTACAAAATCAGTGGTTCTTGCGCAAATGCTCCCGCTCAGGGATTCTTGCACAAGAAAGTCCGATGGCTAAAATGGCCATTGGAGCTTTCTTGTGCAAGAGAGCATCCACACTGGCACGGATGCTTTTGTGCAAAAGCAAATCTTTTTTGCAAAGGCACATGCTAGTATAGACGCTCTTTTCGCAAATACTTTTAATGGAAAAACTTTTCCGTTAAAAGTATTTGCGCAAAATCATGCCAGTCTAGACGCAGCCTGAATGTATAGCTCGAGAGTGCCGGGGGGTTATCAGGAAGGCAAAAGCACAATTAGAATTGTAACTCACAAGGGATGTGAAGGGCAACAAGAAAGGTTTCTACAGGCATATTAACAAGAAGAAGGTGATCAGAGAGGGTGTGCGGCCCCTAATGGATGAAGGAGGTAACCTAGTGACAGATGATGTGGGAAAAGCTGAAGCACTCAAGGCTTTCCTTGCCTCTGTCTTCATGGACAAGGTCGGCTCCCAGACTAATGCGCTAAGTGATACAATATGGGACGAAGGTGGACAGCCCTTGGTGGGGAAAGAACAGGTTAGGAGCTACTTAGAAAAGCTAAACATACATAAATCCATGGGTCCGGACTTAATACATCTGAGGGGGCTGAGGGAGTTGGCAAATGTCATTGAGGAGCCTTTGGC